CCACACATTTTACAAGATCAGATGCTTGTCAGTGGTGCTCAGGATCTGTAAATCATTCGCCATCATCCTCAGTCATCTCTCCTTACTCTGTTTATGTGGTAAGTGAAATCTTATGTACTGTAATGTAACAGGCTACCGCTAGCAAGCAGCTAACCATGTCCCTTTAGTGGCTCGTGTTATTTGTTTTCCGTACCTTTCTGAATACAGACACCAACCCATCCCTGCACATCACATCCCCTGCACAGCCTGGAACATAACATTTATTTCCATGATCTGCCATTTTCGCTATTATCCTCGCTTGTTTCTTCACAATACCTGCAGAACTTCTGATGATTCGGCGGTGCAGGTTCGGCTGGCGGCTGGCGTAGAACATGGACGGGTATATGCAAATGTTGGAGGTGTAACTATTAGTGATCCCGACTGTAACGTCACAGTCGGTGTTATGTTCTGATTCGCCTATTTTTCAGTGGTCTTTTGCACGCACAAGATTTACATAAGGAGGAAACAATGGTGTTTGAGGCTAACGGTATGTCATTTCCATGTACAGAACTCTTATTATTCAACTATACCAAGGTACAGTTTTCCATTCTATGGCACCTTTAAGAATTAATAATTTATTTTTACATTTTCATGTTTTGATGCAGTTTGAGAAATGCAGAATTTGCAAACATAATAATAGCATCATTTACATTTTTACATTTCTAAAGCAAATGAATGCATTAACTAAAAACAGAAAAAATATGATAAATTCTTATTATATCTGAATCGACTTAGTCCTCAGCCTTTTAATCAAAAAGAGAGAGAGAGAGAGAGAGAGAAAAAATGTCCAAACGTTTGATTAAAACAGTGTTGACATCACGTATTTACCTGCACACATTTGATGTTGATCCCAGGACACACAAACTTCTTCCATACGAGGTTGGCTTTGCTGTCTCCACAGGTTATTGGGTAGAGAATATCACCCTCTACATCTGTATCTTCAGATATTTTCACTGCGTAAATATGAATATGGCATGTCTAATAAAAAAAAAAATCCATGAACTATCCAAATGATGATGTTATTCAGGGTTTACTAAAACATTTACTGAAACAAAAACAAAACAAAAAAACTTTATATTTCAATACTTATTTAAAAGTTGTAGTGCTAAAATAACTAGGGATGTAACGATTCACTCAAGTCACGATTCGATTCACGATTTTGATTTCACGATTCGATTCACGATTTTTTTTTAACAAAATGAGATTTAAGACAAATTATAAATGAAATGTGTCCTTTTATTATTGCTTGAACAAAATGCTGCACGTTTTTTGTGAAATTGAAATATAACACTATAATAATATACTAATATAACACTTGCATATTACTGCTCTTTTGTTGGTTTTGATTGCTTATATTGTCCTCATTTGTAAGTTGCTTTGGATAAAAGCGTCTGCTAAATAACAAAATTTAAATACAATGTAAATGTAAATAACAAAACTAAATTGAAAATTTAAAACAAGCCCCAAATCAAATAAATAAGTAACACAAATAAAAGAAATCTCTTCATATAAACAAACTAAGGCTTTGTCTCAACCGATTTGAATCGTCACATATTTGAATCGATTTTCAACCGGCTCGCGGTTAATCGTTACATCCCTAAAAATAGCTAAACTAAATAAATTCAATTAAATCATAAAAACTACACAACAAAATTACTCATTTTAAAATTAAAGTGAAAACATAAAATATTAAAACAATCTATAACAGTATATGAATTAAATAAAAACACTGATATGATGAAACGATGACCATATGTGTTGCTCAATTGGTATACTACTAAACTGTTAGTAAAATCTAAAGTGGATTTACTAAGGTAAAATCACTGTAATGAACCACTTTGGGTGGATTATCGCTTCATTAGAGTGCCTTTAATCTGCCAAACACAATTCCTACCCAACACAGTGTTCTTGGGCAGGGAGATGGTGGCACTAGACTCAGCCTCGGACTCCATGGCTTGCTCCATAATATTTTCCCTGTGAAGGAAAAGACAAAAGCTGCTGTGAGTCTGGCAGAGGTGCATGATGGGACAACAGGGCTAAACGCTCACCCAGACTGTTCTAGATCCGTCACAACCAGTATATTCTTCTCCTCCTCGGCGGATGAAGTCTGACCCGCGGTGTCGGGGGTCGTGACCACCACCACCTCCTCCATGTGGACGTTCACCTCAGAGGACGACGTCATGACGTCATCAGCATCTGACAGCTGTCAATCAGCATCTGATGGGGGTGGAAAGGAAAATTATTATTTTAAATTATGCTTTATTTACTCACTGCAGTTAGGTTTACTCAGATATACTTTTACAAATAAGACTACTGTGTTGTGGTACCATAGTAAAATTATGAATCGGATGGTTTTACCCTATATTTTTGATATATAGCATGTTAATGAACGATAACTACAGTCACGTACCTTTGTATTCAATAGACCTCTAAAAATACCATGGTAAATGTCCAATACCATTGCACATTTTGTTAGTATAATCAGTTATTGCATTCATTAATAATGATTAATTATAGTAGGCATGTTCACAATCTTAAATGTACAGATTATCAGTGTTTTGAGTTTTATCGCTGAATGTTTGCGCTTTGACCGAATTAAATACAAAAAAGTCGCGGCAAATATGTGCGTATGTGGAGGACAAAATCGCAATTCAAATCACACGCAGAAAAAACAGTATAAATCGAAACTTTACCCGCAAGAGTTTGAATCCGTTGTGTTTAGGAAGCGCTGTGCAGACAGACTCTACCGCGCATGCGCGCATGCGCTATCGTGACGTCACGCGCTGGGTTGTGATAAAATGGGCGGGGTTAGCGGATTGTCTAAATAACTTTTTTTTTTTTCTTAAGTTCAGGTTTTTGTTTTGTTTTAATTCAACAGTTATTAAAGTTTCTTTAGTATGATTATTGAGATTTAATTCATTGTCCAGCGCTGAAGAAGAACACAGTTAATATTCTGAGATTTCAATGCGGCACAATGGAGGATTCGGGCTTTGTGGGCCTCCAAGCGCCCACTCGTGGAAAGTTCACAAACAAGCTGCTATCATAAAAACTAAGTATTCACAGGCAACATTTGGAAAAAAATAAAATAAATAAATAAAATTGACACTGCGGTTCAAAAGGTTGCGATCAGTAAGATTTTAATGTGTTTTACAGAAGTCTCTTCTGTTCATCATGGCTGCACTTATTTTACTATCAATACAGAAAAAACAGTAATATTGTAAAATATTTTTTACCATTTAAGACAATGGTTTTTTATTTTAATATAATTTAAAATGTCATTTATTTCTGTGATCAAAGCTGAATTTTCAGCATCATTACTCCAGTCTTCAGTGTCACATGATCTTCAGAAATCAGTATAATATGCTGATTATTGTCAATATTGGAAACAGTTTTGCTGCTTAATATTTTTGTGGAAGCTGTGATACTTTTTTTCAAGATTATTTGATGAATAAAGTTAAAAAGAACAACGTTTATTGAAAATAGAAATAGTATATATAAGTCTTTATTATCACTTTATCAATTTAACACATCCTTGCTGATTCGAAGAAAAAAAAAAAAGAAAGAAAGAAAAATTACTGACCCCAAACTTTTGAACGGTAGTGTATATTGTTACAAAATATTCCTATTTAGAATAAATGCTGTTATTTTTAACTTTTTATTCATCAAAGAATCCTGATAAAAAAAGCATCACAGGTTCACAGCAAAACTGTTTCCAATATTGACAATAAATCAGCATATTATACTGATTTCTGAAGATCATGTGACACTGAAGACTGGAGTAATGATGCTGAAAATTCAGCTTTGATCACAGAAATAAATTGCATTTTAAAGTATATTAAAATAGAAAACGTATTTTAAATTGTAATAATATTTGACAATATTACTGTTTTTACTGTATTTCTGATCAAATAAATGTATCTGAGCAGAAGAGACTTCTTTAAAAAAACATCACAATTCTTACTGATCCCAAATGGTAGCATACATTAAAAAATACATTTGGACTAAAATATAATTTGCATATTAGTCTTACTGTTTAACTGCATAGTTCACAAACAAGCTGCTATCATAAAAACTAAGTATTCACAGGCAACATTTGGAAAAAAATAAAATAAATAAATAAAATTGACACTGCGGTTCAAAAGGTTGCGATCAGTAAGATTTTAATGTGTTTTACAGAAGTCTCTTCTGTTCATCATGGCTGCACTTATTTTACTATCAATACAGAAAAAACAGTAATATTGTAAAATATTTTTTACCATTTAAGACAATGGTTTTTTATTTTAATATAATTTAAAATGTCATTTATTTCTGTGATCAAAGCTGAATTTTCAGCATCATTACTCCAGTCTTCAGTGTCACATGATCTTCAGAAATCAGTATAATATGCTGATTATTGTCAATATTGGAAACAGTTTTGCTGCTTAATATTTTTGTGGAAGCTGTGATACTTTTTTTCAAGATTATTTGATGAATAAAGTTAAAAAGAACAACGTTTATTGAAAATAGAAATAGTATATATAAGTCTTTATTATCACTTTATCAATTTAACACATCCTTGCTGATTCGAAGAAAAAAAAAAAAGAAAGAAAGAAAAATTACTGACCCCAAACTTTTGAACGGTAGTGTATATTGTTACAAAATATTCCTATTTAGAATAAATGCTGTTATTTTTAACTTTTTATTCATCAAAGAATCCTGATAAAAAAGCATCACAGGTTCACAGCAAAACTGTTTCCAATATTGACAATAAATCAGCATATTATACTGATTTCTGAAGATCATGTGACACTGAAGACTGGAGTAATGATGCTGAAAATTCAGCTTTGATCACAGGAATAAATTGCATTTTAAAGTATATTAAAATAGAAAACGTATTTTAAATTGTAATAATATTTGACAATATTACTGTTTTTACTGTATTTCTGATCAAATAAATGTATCTGAGCAGAAGAGACTTCTTTAAAAAAACATCACAATTCTTACTGATGGTAGCATACATTAAAAAATACATTTGGACTAAAATATAATTTGCATATTAGTCTTACCGTTTAACTGCATTCAGCTTTTATTTATTTTACTTTTCACGCTTTTCATTTACATTTATGCAGTTCACAGATGCTTTTATCCAAAGCGACTTACATTGCATTCAAGGTATACAATTTTATCAGTATAAATGCTCTTCCTGGGAATCAAACCCATGACCTTGGTGACCTTTGAGCTACAGGAATGATTCTCATATATATATATATGCTTTGTGTATTCAAAAGAACAGTTAGGTGTATATTTTTCATTTATGTTCTAGTCACAGACAACATAAATCAACATGGTTTATTATGATTTATTTGTGATTAAAACAAAATATATATCTATACAATACTGATAATGATACATGTACAAGCATGTTTGAAAAAAAACAAAAACATGAATCAACACTCCAGTTGAGCATATTAAATTCTCTTCAATCATCAACATAAATGGGCCCAAAATTGATCTCATCTCAAGACATATCATTTATTTGTCGAGTAGAGTTGGCCAGTTTGAGGATTTGTCACAGCGTTGGGAATCTTGATAATGTGCTGTCAGTGTTGGGAGAAAATAGCAATCATACGCATGATGCTTTTTCTCTGCAGCTGCATGTACTTTCCAGGTTTGGTCGTTTCTCAACAGTCAATCTGCATACAGAGACAGAAAGTCATTCATGAGCACGTGTGAAAGAAAATATGATCATTTTAAATGTTTGGTACAGTGCAAAACTAGTTTAACTTTAATCTTCATGTCAATATTTTAATGGTTTTATTGCTATATCAAAATATTGATATAAGACATAACATGACCCTTAAACACGTAATAAGTTACAAATTACACAGATAGTGTACTCTTCATTTATATAAGACCATAAGGGTTGGGTTTTCCTAAAGGTGAAGGCTAAAGTCAGTTTATTTGACCTTTTTATCAGCACATGTGGACACTTTAACCGATGAAATTAATAACAACCAAATGAAGCACAGTGTGAGCGAACTGGAAGTCAGCAAAGGCTCTTTCAGGAGAGATGGACAAGAACTCGCCTTTATTCTGAGGATTAATCTGGATTCTCAGACACACTGAAGAAGACATGCAATACAAATAAAAGTACTTATTTGTATATGAATATTTCCTAAATAATAATAACAAAAAATAAACAAACTATCCCCTGATGCCTAATAACTATATTTATTGTGCACTTCAACAAGAATGAATCAATCACCTAAAGTGGAGATGGAGTCATGTCACTGACAATCAATAAAATGCAATAAAATAGAGGGATAAATAAGTACAATTCATGTTTATGAATGAATAATTTCTAAATAATACCAACAACACAAAAATAAACAAACCATCCCTTTAAACCAACACTGGATAGTATATATTTATTGTGCACATAAACAAAAAACGAGAAGAAGAAAATAATTAATCAATTACCTGCAAGAATAAACGATCCAACGCACGATATGAAACCAGACAGAAAGCTGTTGAACGGAAAGGTGCCGACTAATAAACAATAGAGAAACTGCAGCGCTCCAGTCATCATAATATACAGGAGATACGCATCTATCACTTTCAGTTTGTTCGGCGTGCTGGACGCGTATTCCTCCAAAAACCTGGAAATTACAGAAATCACTGAATTAGACATTTTCTATATCGATTTAAAATCCAAACAACACCGAAAGCTGACGTGTGTGTACATAACGTTTACTTAAATAACTGTTTCCAGTGAGGCACAGAGAGGTTCTTCCTCCAGGGGGCGCTCGATGACTCTAAATTCGAACTCTCCTTTGAAACGTAAAGTCATTTAGATAAAGTTTTTTTTTTGTCATTTAAGGGGTCATATGATGCGATTTCAACCTTTCCTTTCTCTTTGGAGTGTTACAAAACTTTGTTTGGCCTTCCAAAAGAGGACGATATCTGCTTCGTCATGACTGGAGCTGATCCGTGCTGGTCGCTGAGGAAATACTACAACTTTGCGCTTTGGATCAAAGCTTTCTCGGCTTTCACCGTGGACGAAGCGGAGTCCAGCCCGGAGTTGTCACATGTCCTTCCAGACGCTCCTTCGTCGAAATCGCCGGCCGCGCCGTTCTCAAACCCACCCGCCTCTGCTCACTCAAGCCGGCCTCCGCTCACTCTAGGCTGCTGTGTGTGAAAGCTACTTTGTTTGGCCTTCCAAAAGAGGATATGACTAGAAATCAGTTCAACCCAAATATTCAGATGTGTGCAGCACATTTTATGGAGGACTGTTT